AAGGCTGCTGTTGTCCCACTGGTGGGACCGGCTGTTGTGTAGCACCAGCCGCTGGACCAGAAGATGAAGAAGCAACAACTTGTGCTGTTGCTGCTGAAGTACCGCTTGGTGAACTACTAAATTGAGACATAGTGGGACTTGTAACCACCGACGAGGAAACCGGTGATGGGAAAACTGGAGGTCGGAAACTAGGCCCACACGTTGGAGATGGGAAATCCCTTCCCATTCCCTGCATGATGCTCAGTATTTGGTCAAGAGTATCCTGGATAGCATCCTGTTTGCTGTCCATGTATGCATGCATGGACAGGAAACCTGCCTTGAGAATCTTCGTGTTATTATCAATTACAACGTCATCTAACGTTTCTACAACAACTTTGGTTGCCCGCCTATTCTCTAGTCTAGCTTTCCTAGTTCTAATCTTTGTTTCTCTTTCAGTAGCTTCTCTAAGTTCCTTCTCTAACCTTAAGCGGCAACTCCACTTGCTAGAGTTCAATGGCCTCGCTAGTACAAGGAGGTGGCGAGCTGTACTGCAAGCCCGCCATCTAACAAGAAGAACTGCTTGTTCCCACTGAGTTGGATGTGGCATTTGAACTGGTCACCATGCTTATGCTCCGCTGACTGGAGGAAGCAGCGGAAGTAGCCATAGCTGCTGCAGTGGTTGTTGCCGCTCCTAGCAATTGCTCGGCTGCTGCTGCCGCTTCTCTAGCCCTCTGCAAACGTTCAACTACTACTTCCCGTCGTATAACCCTCTCTTCCTCAGGTGGTAAAGCTTGGTGCACGATTGGAATCCTAATGGACTCTTGATGTGTCACCCTTCTTCCTACAGATCTACCCTCACCACTGCCTGGTCCACTCATCAGCTAGGCAGACACTGTCTGCACTAGTGCCCTCACTGGAGCCTACCACAACATGTGTCTGACCAAGTTGAAAAATAGATAAAAATAAAATAATATTTGGCAAGTCACCTGGGCTACTGTTCAAGCGGTTTCACCAACAACAACACCAACTGTGCACATGATCTATTCCTACTCTGATTAGTTTCACTCACAACAACTTTGATCAGAACTGGCTATGGTAGAACACTAAGTACTAATTTAGGTTGTCTGTTAGGTGTTAGCAGTCTGTCCACTAACTAATAAAAAATAAAAATAAATCATGTGAGCAGATGTATGCACAATGGGTATGCTTGTGATTAACAGGTGAGCATCAATTGGTACCTCCCTTCCCCCGTATCCAACGTACCTGCCCTCATCATCAAGCAATGGTGTCTAAGATGTGCATTAATGGCCCACCCCTGTGCCAAGGAACTCACTTATGACCAGTACTGCCCTTTCTTTATCCTCGCGTGCAACGAGCCTTACGTCTGACTGATCTGGCTGATCAAGAGGCAGTTTAAGGACAACCCCCAAGGTCCTTAGGAATTATTTAACGTTGCAGACAGGACGACGATCACAACCAGTGAACAGTTCAGAACCCCGCCGTAAATGTTAATAGACGGTCTGGTAAGTGTCTGCATAGGACTGGTCAATCCACGATCCCTCTATCAACGCAGAAAAGAGCCTTAAAGGACAAAGCAGCATGGCCTGCGTGTACTAAGCCCATAGGTTGGCATGGTGACCGTGACGCGTGCTTCGACCAGGGCCCTTTAGAGGCACCGCCCTCTCCTGCCAAATGCACCATTGGGAAGAATGTCGTCTCTCAAGGTAGAGCGCTCACGACTCCTTTGTCAAAAGAGGACACTCAAGGTTGGACTCACTTCCTCACGGTAAGAAGGGATTGAGAGGGAAGATAAGGTAAGGAACAACGTACCTGGAGATAGCTGTCCCCAACCACAAATTTCTCACCAATTGACACGCGGTTAATGGAAGGCCCAAAATTCAGGGTTTTTCTCCGCATCACTACAAGCAATGTCGTCGAAACTTTTGCAAACAAACTATGCAGGCTCATAATACAAACATAAAAAAAACAAACAGATGTCGCATAATTAAGCCAGCGCCAATGTATCCTTACTGCACAGAAGCATCGTCAGCGCACCAAGTAACAATGTCGCCAGCGGCAGATGAGACGATCTCGAACCAGTTCCGATACCAAATATCAAGGAATATGAGCGAGAGCGATATCCAGAAAACCAAGTTGCAAAATCACGCAGAAGTCCAAATAGTCATGTGACAAGCAGAGAGCTAAAATGCATCAAGATTCCATCCGAATAAGAGCGATACAATGAACTCGTGAGCCAATGTCCAAGCCCTCAGGCCACACCAACGCAGTATTCAATGTTGCTCCTACGTTCTGGCGCCCAGCGCCCAGCCTACTCTACGCGTCCTACCTATCCTATCTACATTAATGCAACAGGCTCACTTCAACTTTGAAGACCAATGTACACGTCAACACCAATGCCGACCTCCCACATACACCAGGTACGTACTCTCGACTCCCCTCATCACCCCTTGACCACCCACACCTGCGCCTCCTTCATGAAGACCACTGTCGCCTCCACCGGCCTGCGCCCTTGCAGCCCAGCTATGGCCACTTGGCGCCCCGCTGCCCTGCAGCGCTCCACACCACTCAGCGCCCGCACGCGCCCCAGCCAGCGTCAGCGCATGCAGACACTTATGGCCTATCGCAGCAGCATGTCCGCAATGCCTGCCCAGGCCAGAATATCGAACACTGGCCGGCCTCCTCCCTATATGGGAGTCACAGCTGCTGCTGCAGTGTCTGGGCCTGGCCGTGGAAGTTTCCAGTAGCTTCCGGTCGGGCCCCAGTGTCTGCGCCCAGGCCCATCTCTACAGTTGAGGCCCTGGGCCCTTTGCAGTTGGGCACACCCACGATTTTCCAGGCCCTGAATATTTGCTGTGTATGCATTGGCCCGCGGAGCAGATGTGACGGCAATGCTGCATTCTCATTGGCCCGTGGCCACTTCGTGATGTGCCGGTGTCACACTGCGTGTGCCCAGGGCGCAACCACCCGCGTCCTGGGCTCAACTGCCTGGGCCAGCTGCTTCTTCTGGAAGAGCCCAGGGTGAGGCCCAGGTTGCACTTAAACCAACTGGCGTGCAGCAACTGTCTGAGACCCTCATTGGAAAATGTTGAGATAAGGACCTCTCATGGATATTCAGGCCCGACTTCACTTAGGGCGGGCACGAGGCTTGCCGGGGGCCACAGTCCAGAACATATGCAGGTTGTCTAGGGTCACCTGAGGACACATTCCTCACCATATCAAGAAATGCTTGATAATGTGGGGCCAGATCCATTTGGACCTTCCTATGTGCTTGTTGTACCCCCCCATATCAGAACCCATCCGGTGTTCCATGCCTCAAAACTGCTGTCTTTCACCCCTGTTGATGCATTTCCTGAAAGGCCACCGCAGTTTGAACCTCCCATCCCTAAAAAGGGATATGAAGTTGAGAGCATAGAGGATCAGTGGGGCATGGGCCCCAACTGTGAATACCTTGTGAAGTTCTTGTTCCAACCTCGCACAGAGGACCGCTGGTTCACAAGGAAAGAGCTTCTCAAGTCTGCAAATTCAGTCATGCAGTTCTACGAGGCTGAACAGAAACGGCAATTGCTCAGACGGTCTCCTCATGGACACTCCTAGCTCGGGGTCCTCGCTCCCCTGGAGGGTAGGAATGCCATGCATTGCAGTTTTGCCAAGCGGGCTGTACACTAGTTAGGGTGTTTTTCATAATTTTGAGTCGTCTAGGTCTTCATCCCGGGACCTGTCACTTGCTGGGACTCCTCTTTTGTCATGCCTTAGACCATTAGGCCAGGTTGTTTTGTCGTTTTCTGCTTTGTAGCAACTCAGTAGGCCCATAGGCTCTCTTTTGCCTTGCAGTAGACTCGGTCCCCCTCTAGTCTATGTTTCTGTTTAGATGCATATAGGCAGAGAAACCGTAAACACTCAGATAAGTCCGTAGGCAGTTGCTGTGTGCTAGGTACAGGGTGTCGGGTAGAAGTAGGGAGGGGCCGGCTTTTTACGAGTTCGTTTCACATCTCGTCTGGAGTCGATGTCGGCGAACGGCTGCGTTAATTTTGGTGGCGCTATTCTGCAGCGCATAGCAGCTGTTCCTCGTGGTAGATGGGCAGCCATAGCTGGGGCTTGCCCGTCTCTTCGACAGGAGCGCAGGAGATTGTTTCCTCCTGGCGCTGAGTGACCTCGTCCATCGCAGAGCTGTTTGGGGGTTTGGAGACAGCCGCTACTTCATCAAGTGGCTCATGGTTATTGGCTGCGGCCATACCAAGGCAGCCATCATATTCTTCATCAAAGTCCATCTTCTTCTTCATGGTGGTTCATGGTGCTGCTGATTACGTATCTGGCCCTTGCCAGATCAGCGCCTGTGGCTGACTGCCACTAGAGGATTGGGCGCTGCTGACGTGTGCCCCAGACCTGCGCTCGTGAGTTGCTGGAAGGGAGAGGAAGTTTGCTGATAGTTTGTTGAAGTTTGTGTTGGTGTTGATCGAATGGGGAAAGCAATTCATGGCTGAGATTCTTCAGGGGTGTACTTGATTGAGAGGCAGGAGAGCAGGGGGATTATAAATAAATTGATTGAAAACATTTTCTCTCAATTTTTGTATCTGGTTTCTGCTTCCACTGTGCAATATCTCTCCATGGCTGTGGTGTGAATCTTCTCTCCCCAGTCTGCCTGTCATCGCAGATGTGTATGGGAACATTTCAGTGCGGATTTGGATTGTGAATCAATCGAGCACATAACAACTAGACCCCAATGGCCATTGACGCCAGGCAAAAGAAAAGTAAAGAAAATGCACCTATGCTGGTTGAATTATTTTTCGCTTCGGGGAGAAGCGGCTCAGAGGTACTGGTGGTTCAACCACGTTCATTAAATCACAGCTCTGTACACACCTAGAGGGTCTTTCCCCTTTCTGTAAGCTCATAAAGATGGTTGTTTGCAAAAACAGAGACAAGTCATTTGTGCACCATTCCAGTTTATTTCTATCTTTCATTACCTGATGCAAAATTGCAAATGCCATGCATTGATCCCTCAGGTACCTGGTTCTGTACCATGAAGTGACAATAATCAACCTGCTTGAGGTTAGTTAATACAGCCTTCTGATGCTCCTCTGCATGGAGACAAATACAGTCATACTGCAACCAGCAGAACCATATTTCTCTCCTCTCTTTCTTCTTTTCTTTCTTAGTTCCATTGTCCTTTTGTTCATCTGTGCCTCCGCTCCTTTCTTCATCTTTCTTGTCCTTCAGTCCTCTCCTCAGTCCTCACTTCCGTCCCTCTTTGCTTCCTTCTCCATGTCTTTCTTCATGTTCTCTCTTTCGCTCCTTCCACACTTTCCCACCTCCCGTTTTCCTCTCCTTTCCGCGCTTCCCTCTCTCCGTTCCTTTCCCTCCTTCCACACTTTCTCCTCTCCCTCCCTTCCTTCCCATCCTAAATTTCCTCCCTCCCTTTGTCCTCCTTTCCTATGTTCCTTCTCTACCTTCTTTTTCTTTCTCCTGTTATTTGTTTTCTTCCGTTTCCTTCCTCACCCATATTCCTGCCATACCTCCCCTTCTCGCCCCTATTTGATGGTCTCCTTCTCTTCTCCTTCTATGCTGCAATTTTCCTCTTTTTTTTTCAATTTTTCTCCTTTTTTCTTTCTTACTTTCTTTTTTTGGACCATTTCTTGATTAATGCATGTCACCCTTGCGCAGGGGCCAAGCTAATCTTCTCTGTATGTTTCCAATTTTAACGGATGTCGCGAAGGACTACGCTGCTATTTCTCATTCTCCTTCCTTCCCAGTGTTACCACATTTTTTTTCGTCCCTTACTGTTCCTTCTTTCTCTTCCTTCGTGCCTTTCCTCCTCCTCTCTCTTCTCTCTCTTTTTTCTCTCCCTTCACTTCCTCCCTCTGTCCCTCATCTCCTTTCCTCTCCCCTATTCCTTTCCTACTCCCCTTCCCTCCTTCATTCCCCTCTCCCCTGTACCTTCTCCCTTAACCAATCTGTTTCCCTCTCGCATCCCCCTCTCTCTCCCGTCTCTCCTTCCCTAATGTTCCTTACTCCCTTCCCTTCCTCACCTCCGCTTGCACCTCCTTTCCTCCCCTTCGGTTCCTTCTCCTTTCCCTCCTTCAACTTTCCTTGTCTTGTTCCTCCTTTCCTAGTCTCCCTTCCCTCTCCTATTCCACTATCCTACTACACTCCTTCCTGCAGTCCCCTCCTCTGACGCCTTCCTCTCTACCTGTTCCTGCCCTCCGCTTCTCCTCTCCCTTCCTCCCCGACTTCCCTCGTGCCCCTATCTCTTCTCTATCCCTTTCGTCCCCCTCCCTCCTTTCTCTTTCTTAACTCCTCTCCCCCTTCCCCCCTCCCCCTTCCCTCCTACCACTCCCTTCTCTCCTTTGCTTCCCCACATTCATTTCCCCCTCCATTATGTCTCTCCCTTCCTTCCCTGCCTTCCTCCCCTCCTTCCTTCCTCCTGTCCTTCCTCACTTTTTCCCTTGCTTTCTTTCCTTCCTCCCGTCTCCCCTTCCTTCCTGCACCTTTTCTCCCTCCCTTCTTTCTCCCAATCACTTCCTTTCCTCACGTCCTTTCTTCCCCTCCCCCTTCCTCCTCCCTCCCTTAATCCCCTCCCTTGTTTCGCTTTCTGCCTTCCCTATTCTTTGTCCCTTTCATCCATTCCCTTTATCTGCTTCCTTCCTTTTCTTTCCCCTTCCTCCTTCTTCCTTCCAATCCTCGTTGCCTCTCCGTTCCTCTTCTCCATTCCCTTGTCTCTTCCCCGTTATTCCCTTCTCTTCTAATTCTCCTCTTCCTTCCCTCCCCTTCTTCCCCTCCCTTCTTCCCCTCCCCTCTCTCCCTCCACTTGCTCTTTCCATTCCTCCCCTCCTCTTCCTCTCCCACCTTTCGCCGCGGCCTCTCTTCCCTCTGTTTCTCCCTCCCATTCCTCAACTCTGTTCTTCTTTTCCTCTTTCTTTCCTCCCATCCTCGTCACTTTCCTTCCACTCTCATCTCCCCCTTCCTCCTTCACCCTCTTCTCTTCCCCTTGCTCGTCGTCCTTCCTCTCTGCCCCTTCCTTCCCTCCTATCCCCCCTCCCTTTCTTCTCTCTCACCTCCTCTCTCACCTCCTCTCACACCTTCTTGATTTGCCTTTCTCTCCTTCCTTTTCCTCCACCCTTACCCTCTTCCTTCCCATTGGTCCCTTCTATCCCTCTGCCACCCCTCACACCCTTTTCTCCTCGGAGGTCAAGAAATCAGAGGGGGAAGGAAGGAGGGGGCAGTGAAAGTGAGGGTAGTAGGAAGGAAGGAGCAGGACTGACAGAGCGGAAGGAAGAAAGGGGGGGAAAGAAGGTGAAGGTGAAGGCAGAGGAGAGGTTGAGACGGAAGGGCAAAAGAGCGCATGGAAGGAAGGGCAGAGAGCAAAAAAGAAGGGCAAAAGACACAAACGAGGAAGGACATAAGGGTGGAAGAAGGGCAGAATGAAAGGAAAGGGAAGAAAGCTGGAAGGGTAGAAGGGAGGGTGGAAGGGTGGGAAGGAAGGGTGGGAAGGAAGGATGAGAAGGAAGAAATGAAGGGTGAAATGAAGGGTGAAATGAAGGGAGGAAGGGAGGAAGGGAGGAAGGGATGGAGGGAGGGAGGAAGGAAGGAAGGAAGGGAGGGAGGGAGGGAGGGAGGGAGGGAGGAAGGAAGGAAGGAAGGAAGGGAGGGAGGGAGGGAGGGAGGGAAGAAGGAAGTGAGGGAGGAGAGAGGGAGGGACGGAGAGAGGAAGGGAGGAAGGGAGGAAGGGAGGAAGGGACGAGGGAAGGGAGAGGGGGGTAGAGGGAGGAAGGGAGGAAGGTGCATTGAATTGCAGTTTCAGCGGGCTGTATCCTAGCTGAGGGCTCAATGGCTTGTAATTGCACGACCACACAACAAAAACAAAAACAAAAACGAAAACAAAAACAAAAACTAAAACTAAAACTAAAACAAAAACAAAAACAAAAACAAAAACAGAAAAAAAATAATAAAAAAATAAAAAAACAAAAAAACAAAAAAGAAAGAAAGAAAGAAAAGTGTGGTTCTGCTGTTTTGAGTACTGTGGGGGCTTGATCCCACTACCTGTCCCGTGGTGGACTTTTCCATGCTCACGTAGCTTAAGTCGTTTTTGTCCTTCTCCGCTTTGTAGAAACTCGGTAGGCCCGTAGGCCCTCTTTTGCCTTGCAGTAGATTCGCTCCCCCTCTAGTTTATGTTTCTGTTTAGATGCATGTAGGCAGACAAACCATAGATGTTTGCTGCTTGGACGGTCAGATAGGTCGGTAGGCAGTTCCTGAGTGCTAGCACTAGGATGTCGGGTAGAAGTAGGGATCGGCGGGTTCTTTTCCCGTTCTTTTTGGAGATGCAACGGGGGGAATTGGGCTGCGCTATTTCCCGCGTTCAGCATCATCGTCTTCTTCAGGCACAGTAGGCCATAGCTGGAGCTGGCCTGTCCTTTGAAGGCCCCGCCAGTAAAGGTCTCCCTGGCGCTGGTATTCCTCTTCATCACCGAGCTGTTTTGGAGGTTTGAAGTCGGCCGCTGCTTCATCAAGCGGCCTTTGCTGTGTGGTTGCTGCCATAGTGCAGGCAGGCGTCTTTGCCTTCATGGAAGCTCATCTTCTTCTTCATGGTGGTTCAGGGCCTTGCTGCATAAGTATCTGGCTCCTGCCAGATCGGCGCCTATCACTGACGGTCACTAGGGGAATGGGTGCTGCTGTTGTTGAGTGTCAGACCTGTTTTGTTAGTGGACTGACTTTCCTGCTCCCTCACTCTCCCTCTCTCTGGTTGCTCTCTCAATACTTCTATCGCTCTGGCTCTTGCTCTTCTCTCTCTCTCTCTCTCTCTCTCTCTCTCTCTCTCTCTCTCTCTCTCTCTCTCTCTCTCTCTCTCTCTCTCTCTCTCTCTCTCTGATACTACTAGCATTGCAACTCTGGATACATCCACTCTGCTTCAACTGCACTTCAGCTATGGCAGTTATGGCTGCCTTCTAGTTCCTCTACCCTAACTGGTGTGCCGCTCAGCGCACAACCCAAGCTGTGAGGTCGCACAAGCAACCAGCAGCGCTTCCGCAGCTCACTTAGGACAATTGATGATGTGAGCTGCAATGTAGCAGCCATTAATAGTTGCTTGACTTGGCCTTGGTTGACTCCCAGCCAACTGCATCTTGGTTGGAAGCCCAAATCTGCATTAGACTTCCTGTTGCCTGAAAATCAGCCAACTGGAGCCCCTGACAGCATAGAGTTTGCTGTCAAGTATGAACAGATGCTACAGCAGGCTGTAAAGCACATGAGGAAAGCTCAAGATGCCATGGTTGCATCTGAGAACAAACACAGACGACCATCTGAGTTTCAAGTAGGCGAACGAGTCTGGGTAAAGTCATCTGAGTTGGGGCAGGAATTAGGAATCTCACGTAAACTAATGCCACAGTACTTTGGCCCCCGGGAAATTCTTGATATATTAGGAGATCAACCAGAAGGTTAACAACAGTCGTATTTTTCATCACCACTTCAAGACACCCTTCACCACTTCAGGATGCAGCCTGCCTAAACAGGTGGTTTTCAGGGTCTTCGGACCTTTCACCACTTCAGGACCATTCATGTCTGAAAATCTTGAATGGTCCTAAAGTGGTGAAAGCTCCGAAGACCCTGAAAACTACCTGCAGGCTGCATCCTCAAGTGGTGAAGGGTGGTTTTCATGGTCTTCGGACCTTCCACCACTTCAGGACCATTCAGGATTTTCAGACTGCCCAAAACTCTCACTTGACCACTTCAGGACACCCTTCAAGGCCTTCACCACTTCAGGATGCAACCTGCCTAAACAGGTGGTTTTCAGGGTCTTCGGACCTTTCACCACTTCAGGACCATTCAGGATTTTCAGACTGCCCAAAACTCTCACTTCATAATTTTCATTCCTGAATTTTCAGCTACCCGATAACCGCTTGTGAACCAAATGGGCCGTCATATGTCATTCGCATCTTTGGACACCTACGTACCCACCCTGTCTTCAGTGCATCAAAGTTGGCATCTTTCTCTGTCACTGATCAGTTTCCCTCCAAGAGATCGATGCTGCCCCCAACCATGGACGTACATGTGGACAT